CAGAACAGGGACAGAACAGGGACAGAACAGGGACAGAACAGGGACAGCCCAACCACGAGCCCCATGGACGAGCACCTCAGGAATGCCAAGTGCTGTGCCCACACAAATAGGTGTAAAAGCAACAACCATCTTACGGAGGGTTAAAAAAAAAGAAAAAAGCCTTATCACAAAGCATTCGGCCACAGGACTTACTGTTCCAAACAAAGAAAAAGCCACATGCTGTGTTCAAACAAAAAGTTTATAGAAAGGACTTTTCATTAAACAAAGACACCCCTCGTGACCCTGTGCCACAACCAGCAGAGGACACAGAGGGAAGTGTTGCTCCACCACAGCCCTCTATTCCTACTTGTTCTGGGCTGTGTGCTATCGGGCAGAGCCACAGGCAGTGCATGAGGTTATGGAGACCTTTGGCCTCAGCCCGTGCAATTGTACAATTCGTAAGCAGTGCAATACTGGTGTCATAGAACGCTTCCAACAACGTACCTTCTCCTTCTCTAACACACAGACCCACTGACTCCACAATTCCAGCCAGAAACCAAAACACACATAGCTATTTTTCTAGTAAAAAATCACAGATAAGAATCCATAAATTTTAAATGAGTATAAAATCGTAACAGATTTCCAAATATTCTTCATTAAACACCAAAAAACCGTAAAAGGCTACTTATAAAAGGCTTCGTTGTTTTTGTTTTGTTTGCTTGTTTTTTTAAAGGAAAATAAAAGCTTTGTATGCTTGAAATCATTGGAGAAAGAAAAAAATAGGAATGAATTATACTTGAGACTTCCACAGTCAACAAGAAGCCTAAAAGAACGTAAGATTTACTACTGCTGACTTCATCAGTACTTCACAACGTAAATCCATCCCTCTTTACTATACCACCATAAGTAACAAGAAGTTTAAAATACCAATTCGGTCCGCGTTTTGCTAACAAGAGGCACGGAGAACCGTTACGGAGAGCTTCACCAACCGGGCTACGAGCACAGCTTTGGCCGCACGGCGCCCCTGCCGCCCACATTCGCACCCCGGCACTTCCAGCGCTCCGTGCGCAGCCAAAGAGGAAGGAAATCGAATTCGGTTCTCAGCGACGCAGCCACAAGGCCGAGCCCCGCCCCGCCCCCCCCCCGCCCGAGCTGAGGTCCCTCTCCGCAGCCATCCGGGCCTCAGGGCCGCGCTCAGCTCCCGGCCCCGCGCCTCGACGGCCCGAAGGCCGCTCCCCACGGGTGGCAGGGCCGGGTCGCACAGCGCCATCGTGGGGGGACTCGGGGAGGGACAAGGCGGCGACGGGGACAGCCGGACCCGCCCGCTACGTGGCCGCGGGAGCAGCCGAGGCCGCACGGCCGGGCCGCCAGACGGGGAACTGGCCGAGCTCCGCCAGCCCGTGCCGAAAGAACGCGGGCCGGACGCTGCAGGGAAACCGGCGGCAGGGCCCGAGAGCGCGGCACGGGGCGGCCCTACCGGAGCGAGGAAGCCGCGGCGGCAGGAGACGCGGGCCTCGTCGCCCCGCGGGCCGGGCCGCGGCTCACCCGGTACGCGACCCGGCGCCAGCCCGGCAGTTACCTGCGCCGCGGGCAGCCGCTGTCCTCGTTTGGGTGTCCGAGGCCTGGCGACGGCAGCGAAAGCTCCGGGCTCCGGCGCTGGCTGCGTTGACGGTGGGGGATGGGCACGAGGGCTCGGCAGGCCCCTCCGAGCGGTCAAAAGGCGGACGGACGGCGCCGCTCGGCCGGCCGCGGAGGCGGCAGGCGGCAAAGAACGGCACGATCGTGACGAGCGGTCCCCGGACCCGGGCTGGGCCCCGGCTCTGGCCGCGGCGGCTGCTCCCCGAAATGGCGCCCGCCGCGTCTCGCTGCTCGCAGGCTCCGCACACGGCACGGGGGCGCCCAGTACCCGTCGCAGGGGCTCTCGCGAGACACAGAGCCCGGCCCCGCGCCAGCCACCTCTCGCGAGACAGTGCGGCCGGAAACCGGCGCTCAAACGCTCGCGAGACTCGGCAAGGGCTGCAAGACCACCATCTCTGCTCCTCTGTGCTCTCGCGAGAGTGCGCGCACCCGCCGCGGGAGGTCAAAGGTGACCCGTAGGGATTTAAATTCAGCGCCGCCATTTTCTTGTGTGACTCCTTGGGGGAGTTAATGGTGGTTGCTGTCGTTTTGTGTCCTTTCTTAGTTACTGGGCCTTGAGGTTGTTTGTAGCGTGTTTGCAGGAAGGACCCTATCTGATCTCCTGTGAGCTGTCTGTTGGGCTGCCTGTGACCACCCTTGAGCTTTAGCGGCCCAAACAGTCCCTGCTCACTTAATTGTTTTCATAGTGTTGTTTGTTTTCTTTTAAGTGGGTGTGCTCACTGCTCTCCTGCACCCCGGATGGTAGCTCAGAAGGGTAAAAAGTGTCTTTTGTGTAAGGTGTTCTATTCTTTACTTTTTCAACAGTGTGCACATTGGCCTTGTGCTGGTGGCTGCGGGCTCAGAGTCTTTGCTCTTTATTTATGCTGAAGCATCTATGTGATTATCCCTATGAAGTATTCCTGGGTAGTTACAGCTCTGATGTTAAGCTCTAAGTGAGAAAGGTCCTCTCACAGTCCTTTGTCATCTGGGGCCTTTTACCTAAAGAAACGGAAGAGCTTAACTTTAGAGAGATAAAAAGGAACTGGGCAAGATAAAGTGGACCCAGGATAGGAGGAACAGAAGCTGGGAACCTGCAAAGCCAGCTCAGGCTGTTAGAGGACAACTTTAGGCCATACTGCATCTGGTAGATCTTGTCAGCCATCCAAGGTATGCTTCCAGAGAGGCTGTGAACAGTGACTGATGCAAAGCTTCAGTGGTGCTGTAGCTCTGGTGTCTTTTAATCAACAAAATATGCATGTGTTGCCAGCTGGGAAGTTTTGCTGGCAAAGTTGCAGGCACACACAGGTGTATTGTCCAGCTTGAGCCTATTTTCTGTGGGAAAGCCTTGTTACTCCATTTTTTGAGCAAGGTTCTTTAAGAGACTAAGAAGTGTTACTGTTCCAAACATTTGGTAGAAGTGTAGATCACCACAGTCATGAGTTGAAGGAGGGATCACTGCAAAGGCAAGGTATTTGCCTAGACCCATCTCCTTATCTTGTGAATACTACGCAGGCCTGTTTAATTACAGCAAGCAAACTTAGGGAGGAAAAATTCTCGCAAACTATGCTTGCACACATTTTGGTAGGGTCAGAGTAAGGCCCCCTGAAGCCCCTGCAACCCAGTTCCAGAATTTTCTAAATCTTGAACTGCTCTTGCACAAGAGTGGGATCATACCTTGATCACAATGTTAGAGGGCAGCTGATGAGTATTTGAGACACTAGACTCATTTCTGGAATGTTCTGAAGGACTCAGCTTCTCCTTAGGAAGAGGAGGGACATCAGCACTGCTCAAGGATCAACTCTGGCATCGCTGGATCCAAGAGCGGTGACTGCATCTTTCTCTCTGTCCCCCCCCACCTCTCCTTTCAAATTATGTTGTTTACCAGAAACAATATATTCTGTGTAAGCCATTAGACATCAGTATCCAAATATCTGCCTGAGTTTGTTACATCAAACAACTTCATGCCTACTTGAGATCCCAATCCATCCTTATACATTCTTATACATCCATGTCCCAGTGTAAGCAACATGTTTTGGCTGACAGTAGCAAGTGAGAATTGCACAAAGGATAAACCAGAGGAGCTCATGACAGTAGCTGTCGTGGAAAGTGCACAGCCTATGTAAGCTGTGTCCAGTGTAGGAAATCCTGAGCTGTGTCTGTTGCAGCCTGAGAGCACAGGAGAAAGCCTTACCTTGTTAATAATATTCTTTCTTTCTTGGGTGAAATGGATGATGGTTGGGGATAGTGTTAGGCTTGTTTATTGTAGGAGAGAGCAAAATGTGTTGGGCAGGAAGTTGAAGCTGCCAGTGTTCCTTTGTGTCTGGCTCTTCTGATGTAATGACTGACAGTGGCTGTGTCTTCATGGTGTCTGTTCCTCCCTTTGGCTAAGGGCTCTGACAGGATTCCTCAGGCTTAAGACCAGCTACACCTGGTGGTGTCACTGCTGAACCCTTCTGCAGGAAGCTTTCCCTGGTTAAGGGATGCCCATGTCTGACAGCCTTTTGCCTGCCATAGACCCAGGTACATCTAAGATTGTTGGTAACCTGGCCTCCTCTTGCAGCTTTTGGCCCAAGCCACTGCTGACTGCCATATAGAGTCTGCAAGAACCTTGGGGGCAAATGGTTTAATGGAATAAGTACGAATGTCTTGTGAGATGAAGCCTGACTGTCTCAGTAATAGTGCTTTGTTTCCCCTGGAAGACCACAAAATGGCACATTCGTATTTACATTTAATTCAGTAATATTCTGGAAGTTTGAGCCAATTCCTCAATACAGACAAGCGTTAGTGACTGGGCTTAGGGCATTTTTTTCTCTTATGAGTCTGGAACAGTTTATAGATAAGATTTAAACAAACTTTGTCTTCTGAAACTCTCTTTTTTTTTTCCATAGCTAATGGAAATACTTAAACCAATGGGGGGGAGCTACGAACTCAGGTCTATAGGCTTCCAAATCAGAATGTATTTTATCACGCTGCATGGTGCTGGGCTCAGCAGTGGTGTCACTCGGCTGCTTCTCCTTTCACTGAGACATTTCTTAGCAAAAGCGTTCATGGGTAAGGGCCGGGCTGGGCCTGCAAGGGAGGCTTGCTGCCATTCCTGCACTGGGCACTGCAGGATGCACTGTTTGTGGCACAGGTCAGTGTGAGAGACATGGAGACAGTGCTACGAGCACCAGTGCCGTTACCGCTGCAAGGAGGCACCGGGGAGGTCCGGAGCAGGAATTCAAGTCGTTCGAGGATGCTGTGTGGGTGCTGAGAGCTCTCGCAGTTGAAAACTCAGAAAGGAGCTGAAATAAAAAACGTTTGCGCTTTCCCACACCGGGAGTCGAACCCGGGCCGCCTGGGTGAAAACCAGGAATCCTAACCGCTAGACCATGTGGGATTGCATGTTAGCTACCTCTGCTGCGGCGTCAGCTTCCTGCGCTCCGCCTGCGGTGCAGCGCCACTTACCGGCCGGGTCCCCGCACTGCTGCGCCGACCGCGCGGGCAGAGAACTGCGACGACGGCGTGGTGCGGGCCGCACAGCCCCGCCACCGCGTGCCCGGGGACAGCGAGGGCCGGGGCGCTCAGAGTCAGCGCACCTGGCTCATCTCAATCTGCCAGCGTGTAAAACTGCCCCTGCGGTTTGAAAGCTCGAGTGTAAATAGGAGTAAACAGGAAAAAACAAGTAATAGGGCTGCTGTAATGAGCGCTCTTCGAAACCAGTCCCAGGGATGTACCTGGGCGAGCGGCCAGGCTGCGGAGGCAGAAAGCCGGTCTGTAACGGGCCCCGCGCCGGGTCTCGTGTCAGCGTGCCATACAGGCCGGGTCTGCGATCCCAGCAGGCAGCAGCTGCCCGGGGAGAGGTGAGCCATTGGTGCTGAGAGGTGGGAGGGACTTCGATCAGAACCGTGCTGGTAAGAGAGCGCTGTGAGACCGGGAACATCGTGGGTGTGATCCGGTATAATTGAAAGAGCAGCTACACAGAAATCCCTCCCAAAAGAGCTAATAAAAAAAAAAAAAAAAGAAAAAGAAAAAAAAAAAAAGAATAAGCCAAATGGAGAACATGCTTGCAAAAGCCTCTTATTTCACCAGACGCAAAACTATTCTAAGAATAGTCTCAAATGGCTGCAAAGCTTGGCAAAGAAAGATGTGAAATACTAAATTAAAGATACAATGCTCTTAAAGATGCAAAGCTGATGCAGACCATGTCTGTTTGCCAGTAAAGAAGATCCCAGTCAAGTTCCAGGCTGTCCAAAGGCTCAGGAGTGGAATTGCATGTGCCCATGTGTGCAGGTGCTGCTTCCTGCAGGATCAGAGCTGCAGCCCCCGGCAGAGCGCAGGGCTGCACTGCTTCGTGCTCCTGCTTCTTCGGCAGGAGAAGGTTAGAGCCTGTTTCTGTGAGGTCAGTCAGGCTTTGGCACAGCTGTGGCAAGATCTGGGCTTCCATGCACCAGCCTGCCTGTCCTCAGCTTCAGATCTGCCTGGGTAAACACATCTGTGCTGCAGATGAAGACACTGTGTTCTGGCCTCCCAAGGGCTGCTCCTTCACCTGGGTGCACTCTGGTCTTACAGAAAGCTCTCCTCTCCTGATTTGCACCATCCAGCAACAATTTGGGGATCTATATATGGGCCAGCAATGAGTTATTTGCTGGGGTGCTGCTTCAAGGGATCTGTTGGGTTTCCAGGGGAGCTCTCATGCTCATCCCGCACAACCATGGAGCTGGGCCAGGCCTTGAGGAGGGGCTGGGGCTGGGCTGAGATGTGTCTGCTGAGAGTAGGTGATGCTGCCCAGCTGCGTCAGGGATGTGTGATGACTGTAGAGAATAGGAGAATTTGCCACCATCAATAAACTTAAAGAACTAAGTTGTCATTTTTTTATTGCTGTCATAGGACAGGTAGAGAAACTTGGACAACTCAAATGCAAATCTTTTAACCTTTCTTGTTCTTTGACTTTGAAATTCACGTCCATCACAGTCCCACTGCACTGTGGGTGCTCTGGGAACAGGCCTCGTTTACATGGTCCCATAAAGCAGCTGTGTTCAGAGTTTGCAGGCAGTGTCACTATCACCTGCACCTCAGCGTTTCAAACTGCTCTGCTGGGGCATCTGAGGCCCCA